GGATATAATGATCGCCTATCAATAATGTGTCAGAGAAATGTCTAAAACATGGAACTAGTAAAACAGCCTAAATTTCTTTGTAATCTATGATTGCATTATTTTGTTTAACCTTGTGTTTTACTCTAGCAATTTTCATAATCTAATAACAGTATCAACATCATAAAGGAATTCCACCTTTCAGCACCTGCCATTTTCACCCCTGAAATAGTCTCTGGTGGGTAAAATATTCTTAGCCTTTTCCGCTCTCCTGGCATATATATTACATGCCTTTTCCTTTGTTTCACTCACCTGTGTTCTTTACTTTCTTGACAACACACTCAAGAAAGGCTTGGTATTTTTCACAGGGTATAAAAGTTACTGAGTTGCTAGTTTTCTAAATTGTAAGCTACTTGGAAGCAGAGCCTGTGTCTTGCCTACCAAACATTGTCAACCTAAGAACACACTGCCTGCTAATGTATATTAACTAAATGACTAAAGGCATGAATGAAACTATCTTCTGAGGTCTATTGCTTTCAATTGTGTACACCAAGCATGTCAAACTCAAAGGCTAACTCAGGCCAAATAAACCAGGTTCAAGTTTATGTGGGCCGCAAAAAAATAAAAGCTTCAATTTCCACCGAAACATAGGTTTATTTCGATAGAGACACGCTGAATACAGAGGACTAAAATAAATTATATATATATATATATATATATATATATATATATATATATATATATATACAGAGAGAGAGAGAGAGAGAGAGAGAGAGAGAGAGAGAGAGAGAGAGAGAGAGAGCGCCAGGGTTCCTAACAACCAAGGCTGGAGGCAACACCTGAAGTCAGTGCTGGGTTGCTATGGATCAGACCCAGTGAGAAGCCTATAGAGAGGCAAGGTCTGATCCCCAGCCTGCAAGGCAGCTGTTGATCAGCCCTTGCCTCTCTCTTTCTCTCCTGGCTTGACCAGCAGTCTACCTTTGTTTCTCTCGCTGCTGATCAGCCCTGTCTCTTTGATCAGGCCCAGAGATAGGCCCAAAGATGCTGATTGGCATAGAAACTGACCAATCAGAACCAAATCTGGGTGAAGAGCCAAGAGTCAATGGTTGCCTAGGAGACGGAGCTTTGGATGCTGACTGGCATAGAAACCAGAACCAAATCTGGGTGAAGTGTGAGTTGCCAATGGCTGCCTAAGAGGTGGAGCTTTTAACGCTGACTGGCATAGAAACTGACCAATCAGAATCTAATCTGGGTGAACTGCGAAGGCAGAACCTAAGGTGGGGGCTGAGTAGGAGTTTTAGGGGAAACAGCTGTTTGATATAAGGTATAAAAATGCGGTTCAATTTTTTCATGACTGGTTTGGCAATATAGTGCATATGCTGGCTGTCAGTCCAGATATAGGGATTATGTGTTTTTCTCTGCCAAGAGCATCTCCTCCTGCTGAAAAAGGCTTCCCCCCTTCCATTTAAGCAATCCTATCCTACATAATCTATCTATACTACCAAAAGGGTATTATGCTAATTAGACTGGGCTGAGAGAACACTCTTCCCCTCCTCCCATGTACAATTTTTTTGCACCAGGCCCCTAGTTTTTAACATAAAACAATAGAACATTTTAATAAAAATTAATATTTTTTCTTGAACATTAACTTACCAGACACTGAATAACTGCACAAATTAATAAGCACAATGCAAATAAACCTATATTTCTTGTTTTCCAAAGTAAAATATTTCCTGTTGCACACACTAAACAAGTCAGTCCAAGACTAATGATGTGGCAATTGGCTGCTAAAATATTCACTGCTAGAATTAGTGAAAGAGAGCGCATAAGGTACCTAAGGGAAATAAATGCAATACAATTATAGTAATCAGTTATTAGCAAACATTGTATTTTGTTATTAATAATTATGTGTAATAGGATAATAATTATGTGTAATAATTATGTGTAAAAATTAAGTTACAAAATTTTATTAAAATGTTTCTTATTTACTGTATATTAACTGGGCTGCAAAAATATTTGTTGTGGACTGCATGGCCTACAGGCCATGAGTTTGACATGCTTGGTATACACCATAGATAATTTTTAAAAGCACATTTCTTTTTAGATATTTTGACCAACTGGTTATAATGCTTTCTTTGTGGCAAAATTCTGTCCCAGTGTCAATGATTTTGAATATCTCCTTAATGCTATCAAGCACAATATGTTACACTAGAGGCCCGGTGCATGAATTTGTGCACTGGTGGATTCCAGCTGGTGTGCCCAATGGGGGCCATCAGGGGCAGGCTGGCCAGGGCGAGGGTCGGAGGGAATTCTGGTCATTCCACCATTTGGTCAATTTGCATATTACCCTTTTATTATATAGGAGGATACAATTGGAACCCCCAAACAAATGTGTGCTTTTATTTTGTGCCTAGAACTTATATCCTTCAAAGTAAGTTTTCTAGAGCAAATTGTTTGTAAAAAGCACAGGCCAAAATCTGGTAGGACACTAGTAATTGTTGTTTGAAAGGAGAAATGAAGACAAAAATAAGTTCTTTTTTACTATGAACAGGACATTTTGTCAAAGAAGATTGTTATTGATATTCCAGGCTGCCTATAAAATTCTGGTAAGAGAAAAATATGGAAATATTTAAAGCTTATGATAATTTTATGATCCTTAGTTGAGCTTCCCATCATCCATTTATTTTGGGATTTCCTGCAAAACACTGAGAGAAAAAATCTCAGTGAAGTCCACCTTAAAGAGGGTATTTTTCAGTCTACAAGGAAAATAAAGAGCATGTTCTGCATTAAATTCCCAGGTCAACAGGTAAGCATGGCAGAGGGGGTAAATAATTTACATCAATATCACAAAAGAATGATTATTGACTCTGGCATATTAGAAGGCTTCTCAGTCATGTTAATTATTCAGCAATTGGTATTTACTGTACAGAGGGCTTATTTTTTTTTTATTTTTTTTTTTTTAATGATGAAAAACTTTATTCTGCATCAAGGTGTCTGGAAAATGAAGCTGCATTTGGGCACATTACAAATGAGGAATGATCCATATGCGGTGAGTGCAAACTCAGAGTTATTTTCTAGCTATTTCCAGATTTACCAACGCTTAATTCAAAGTAACACATGATTTGCCACACTAAAAGGCTAGAAGTGAAATATGACAGAATTTAAACCAGCAGATATAAATGTAGCACCTATTTGTATTTTTAAAAAAACAACTCATCAAATATTGGCAAAATCAAATACTGAGGAAGAGTTCTGGCCATAAGCACATCTCACCTAAAAACCAACCCGAAAGCCAGTCCATGATTATTTTTTTAAGCAATTTGCTGGTGGGGATGGGGGGATTAGGAATGCTAGATGAATTCAGTGACAAAAAGGGCACTTTTTGGCTAACACTACAAAATAAACTGGTTTTCTGAAAACATTTCAAGTCATTTCCGAAATGTCTGATATAATGATCATTAGAAAAACTTACCTAGTCTGTAGAAATTCATTTTGAAATACAAATGAGGCAAAATGATTTTTTAAGGGTTATTATATATGTCCTTCAGATTCATGTAATGTGATGACTGTGATCCTTTCGTGAACAAAAAGCAACAAACAATTCTGAGAGCAGGGTGCCTTGGAGACCACCCACATAATTCAACATCCTGGGCTTTGCCATCAAGTTACAGGACGGGCAAATGAGTTCAGGTCAAAGGCTTTATCACAGTCATCTGAACTATATCCCAAAAATGTTTTCTTACAACAACTGGTTGCACAGAATACAGAAATCTTGCTGTATTTAACGTAACATAATATTTTAGGTGGCCTTTCCTTTTTATCATTGTTTAAAAATCTTCAAAACAGCTTAGTGAGGCTCATGGCAGTGCCTGGCACATGCAGATGGAGCTTTTCATGGCCTTCCAACACTCACACTATCTGACTGCCCCACTGGGCTTTGCAAGCAACTCTTGGGGTCTGCTCAAAGGGTAAACCAACTGCTGAGGTGGATTGGCAAACTAAGCACCTGTAAGACAAGCTGGGGCTCGCTTTTTGCCAATCCACAGGGGCTGCCTATCTCCATTGCTGCACTTTCTTTAGGTAGTGATGTCAGGAGCACAAAGCAATTATGCACTCACTTAGCCCAACAGAAACCCTGAAGCCATTTGAAACCAGCCATTCCAAACTTCCTGCGACCACTCTGCTCTGTTAGCACCATCAGAAACTTTGCTACCGCAACAAAAAGGAACTGGTATTGCTGCTCTCCAAATATAGGCACTGCTCCATGTCACTGGACATTTATTGGACTTTCCAACTAAAAACTGTCAAAGCCTCAAAAACCTGAAATTAATTTTCCAGCTTTACTGTCACCAGCCAGAAGTAAAAAATTTTTTTTCAGTTATTTGCCTGTTAGCTAATTAAATTTTATTTTTAAAAAACAGTTGGACTTTTATCTTTATAAAGTATATAAAATTTTCAAAAAAAAAAAAACCCACAAAATTTGCTTTCATTGCATACTGAATACCTGAGGTAGTTGAGTAAAAATGCACATTTTATACCCCTGCCAACACCATTCAGCACTTCCCTTAGGTTATTCATGTTAGTGTTAGATAAAAATAAAACAGAAGTTTTTCTATGTTGATACCATAACAGTTAAGTTCCTATAATAATTCTATTCTCGCTTAGGAGCAATCTGTTTTTATTTGATGAATTTAGTGAGTGCATCACTAAGCCAATTTCTTGCATACACGGGAACATTAAGAAAAATTAGAAAAGTTTTACACTGGAAATACAACACAAGGGAAGTGCAGAGCTCCTCTTTTCCTCCCTCCCCTTTTTCCTTTTAAAGCTGGGTGTCACCGTTTCAGAGAGCACAAAGATACATTCTCACAGAGACAGGAGTTCGGAAGTTGCCTGGTACTCGGAAACAACTGGCTAGGTAAAACTTGTGCATGTGATTCTGGATGGGTCAGCCGCCGTCTGTTGGTTAAGCAATCTGTCTTTGGTTTGGCATCTGCCTCTGTGGTGGGCTGTTTCCTGAGCCTTTACTTCCGTCTTGACTGCGGTGGTCCACTTTGCAGAGCTCTCTGCTGTTGGTGCTGCTTTACCTGAGACAGAATTTCCTGAATTTTCCTCTGGGCAACCTGGCAAGCATAGAAGTGCCCAGTTATTTTGACCACCACTTGATCATTCTCATCAGGCGTCTGGTCACGAGGGACAACAACTTCAGCGCTAGATAAATTCTGGAGCTCGTTCACCGTTTTGCCTCCTTTTCCAATAACTCTGCCAGCAGCAAAGGATGGCACTCTGATATGAGCTTCAAGTTTCACCTCTTCTTTAGGACTAACAAAGTTTTCTTCTTTAATTTTCCCATAAATTCTTCCCTGAGCCTTGAACTGGGCCTCCGGTGGCCCGGTGATAATCACCATCCTCACTTTCGCATCTGGTGCTTCAGCAGGAGCGATCTTAATGGAAGCTCCTGCAAAGCGAGAAAGCTGTTTGATGTGCTGCCCCTGCTTGCCAATAATGGCACCGACCGATAAGGCTGGGATAAACAGATGGACGGTCTTCGTTTCCGATTGCTCAAACTGTGGGTAAGGGGGAGTCATGGCTGCAGGGGGCCCTGAGGTGGGAGGTGGCATCCCTGAAGTGGGCGGGAACAGACCCAAGGCATTCAGGTTTAGTCCGGGAATTAAATGTGCTTGAAGATTCATAGAAGCAATATCGTTTTCGTAAGACTCCCTGATTTTCTTCATTATCTCCTCCTCGGCTTTGGCACAGGTTTCCACGCTGCCTTTCACTGTGATGGTGCGCTCCGGATTGTACAGCGTCAGTTCCTGAGAGCGCCTCGATGGCCCGGAGCGCCCCGCCGTCGTCGGCGCAGTCCACGAAGGCGTAGCCGCCCTTGAGCAGGAAGGGGCCGGCGGCCGGGACCTGCGCCTCCCGGAACACGCGCTCCAGGTCGGCGGCCGCCGCGGCCTCGCTCAGGTTCCCGATGTACAGCTTGTTCATCGCGGCGGAGGGCTCTTCGCGGAGATGGCGGGGAAGCAGGGTCGGCGGCGCGGCCCTCGTGTCCCCGCCGCTCGCACGGGGCGCGGCCGGACGGCGGGATCCCGGCCGAAGGCGGCGTCCTCCTGGCTGAGGCGGCGAGAGGAGCCCTCGGCGGCCCCGCCGCGCAGAGACTCGGCGCTCCAGAGGGCTTATTAATAAACGATGACACATCATTGGGTTCCAGAAATCAACTCGGGATAATATCCAGCTATATTAACTAGCTTAGTGAAGAGCCTGCACTCATTGGACTCAAGCCTCCCTGAGTTCTGCAAGCCTACAGGCTAGGGGGAACTTCACCCACACCATTCGCAAGGGCAGAGCTTGCCCTCAAGGGGCGGGGCCAACCTGGTCTGCGGGGGCGGGGCCAACCTGGTCTGCAGGGCCAGCGGATTGGCAGGTCATGAGGCGGGCCGGCGCGTGCGCACTGGCCGGTCCTCGGCCGGTGGACCATGGAGGCGCCGAGGCCCTTTGCACCGGACTGGTATGTCCCCTGGCTCCCCCCGGCGCCGGGGGCCGATTTGAAGCTGTGGCTCTGTGAGCTCTGGCTGCTACTGCTGACTCCGGGCCTGAGCGCGGACTTACTGCCGCACGAAGAGGACGTAAAGTTTATCAATGAGTACGTGAACCTCCACAATGAACTCCGAAGCAAGGTCAAGCCCGCAGGGGCTAACTTGCGCTTCATGGTGAGGCCCCCGAGGCAACCCTTGTCCTGACCGCGCACCCCGGGGCCTCGGAGAGTCTGGGCCGCTGCCCCGAGGGTTAAGGATTGTGGGGAGCCCCACTTTCAGTTTGGGCTTAAACATATAAAGTTTATTCCCCGAAGAAATAGAAACCACTGTCTTAACACGGTTTATTACCAAGATTTCCACAGGGCTGGGAGTAGGGTGGGTAGAGGCCCTCATCCGAGGTGTAAAATTGGAGGCTTCAATTCGAATAAATGATGGTTCGATGCATTTTATAGCTTTCTATTTAAAAATCTACAAAAAGTAATGATGAAGACCCATCAGTGTAAACAGCAGGATCCTTGTCTTCCCTGAGGGCGAGGCAAGTGAGGCAGTCTCAGGATGCTGCAAATGAAAAGCCAGATCTTGTTTTTATTTAAAATAGCGATTTTTTTTCCCATCGTGGATGTTTTTACATTAATTTTGCCTTTTAAAAATAGTGCTTACCTTAATTGTTGTGAAATGTGTGTTTTTTCTGGTATCCACCCAAGGGAGTGTCTCAGTCACCTTACCCTTTTCTCTGCCAAGGGCCAGTGGATGTTTATAACATCTTTCGTAGGCCCTACAAAATTATGAACTTAAAAATTAGCCTGCTATATGTGGTCAAACATTTAATTAACTCTTGATCTGTTGGCTAGAGCCGCTTCTCTTTAGTGAGGCTTGTGAGGTTAGCTGGTATTGATGTTGCTACTCAAAACTGCTTCTCCAGGGTTGCCTCTGTCTGTCTGGAGCGCAGTCGACTTTGTAATGCTAACTTTTGAAAAGAACTGCTCCCAGCAGTAAGTTGTTCCAAACAGATGCATATTTCAATGCATGTCTCCTCAGAGTGGGAAGTTCATCATTGCTTACATCAGTGGTCGGCAAACTCATTCGTCAGCAGAGCCAGATATCAACAGTACAATGATTGAAATTTCTTTTGAAAGCCAAAAACCGACTTCTGCACATGGGCCATGAAGTTTCAATCTCACTGTATGTGCTGCGCCCGCACATGGTATTTTGTGGAAGAGCCACACTCAAGGGGCCAAAGAGCTGCATGTGGCTCGCGAGCCGCAGTTTGCCGACCACTGGCTTACATCATGTTTATAGAACTCAAGCAGTGGGAGGTTGTTGTACTTAGCTTTCAGCTCATCATTGCTTTGTAGCTAAATGATTTTGTGTTGTAGGTTATCATGCACATCAGCAGGTTCCACATTGAACAGTGTAGCAAAGATGTTCTGTTCCACTGGTTTTCTTTTCGTGTCCTTGAAAATGGCCTCATAGTTTCCCACATTCACCAGCATATTCAAGTGTCCTACAAGGCTTTTGTCCTTCCAGAATAGGGAAATGCACCAAATTACTCCTTTTGAGTTGCACTTTCCAAAAGTCTTAATTTAGCTTCAAATGATTTCACTTCACATTTGAAAGCAGGGAGCTGAGAAGCTGGTTGGGGCCTTGCAGCTTGACATTCAGTTCTGAGAGGTACTTGGTAATGTCCACCAAGAATGCTAGATCACACAGCCACTTGCTATCATTAAGTTCCCCAGACGGGTTTTCCCATCATCTCCATGAACTGCTTGACTTCATCCTGTAGTTCATAAAACCTCACGAGCATGTTCCTGTGACTCAGCCACCACACTTCACAGCAATAAATGAGATCATTATACTCAGGCAAGATCATTCAGTAACTCCTTAACCTGGCAGCTATTAAAACCTCTGCTTCTGACAAAATTTACAGGTGACACTTTATTGACAAAACATTGTTGAGCCGCAATGACTGTGCACAGAGATTTTCTTAGTATATGGTGCAGTGGCATATAATTAAACCCCTTGGACCAAGACTGAAATGATTCAGTTCTTTCTTGACAAATGCAATTAACGCTTTTTGTGAGCCAATCATGACTGTACCTCTGTTAGTAGTAAGGCCTCTTTTCAAATATTATCTCAGATTTTTTCGTTGCTAAAACAAGTGCCATGCATGGTTTCCAGTGACAGCAGTTCCTCTCATGTGTTAATAAATAAAAATGAAGCTGCCATATGATCCAGCAATTCCACTTCTGGGTTTGTATATATACAAAAGAAATGAAAACAAGATTTCAAAGAGAATACTGTACTTCCATGTTCATTTAAGTATTATTTATAATAGTCCAGGTAGGGAAACAATCTAAGCATCCATCATTGAATGAATGGATAAAGAAGATGTGGTGTATGTATACAATAGAATAATAGTCATCCATGATAAAGAAGGAAATCCTGCTATTTACAACTTGGTTGTACTTTGAGGTCATTATGCTAAGTGAAATAAGCCCAACAAAGACAAGAAGAACATTAGTATCACTTATATGTGGAATCTAAAAAAAAAAAAAAAAAAGTGACTTGTAGAGTAGAAAAGAAAGTAGTTTCCAGGAGTTAGGGGTGGGAAAATAGGAAGAGGTTAGTAAAAGGGTAGTGACTATAGCTGGTAACACTGTATTATATAATTGAAAAAATATTGAGTCTGTTTTCAACTGTAACTTAATTCAAGGTTGAGCAAAGGAATTTATAAATATCATAACTTATTGTATACACTGTCATGGGATGGAATAAAGTAAAATATTTCCAAACTTGGAGTTGAAAGTTAGCCTTTCTGAGTTAAATTCAGACTCCATAATTTATTGGTTATATGTGACTACAAGTAAAATTCTTGTCTGTGTTTTAATTACTTTCTTTGTGAAACAAAAAATAATAATGCATACCTCATAGTATATTCTGAACACTAAGTTAAATAGTGTATAAAAACAATAGTGATGCTCTAGCTCATTGGGTTCAGTGAATAGAGCATCTGCCTGTAGACTGAAGGGTCCCAGGTTCAATTCTGGTCAAGGGCACATGCCCAGGTTGTAAGCTAAATCCCCAGTAGGGGGTGTGCAGGAGGCAGCCAATCAATGATTCTCTCTCATCATTGATGTTTCTCTCTCCCTTTCTCTTCCTTTCTGAAATCAATAAAAATATATTTTTAAAAACAAACAATAATGCCTGGTATATAGTAAGCATGTGATATATGAACAATATACAAAATAAGGCAGTAAAAAGATAACCCATGGAACATTGTTTGCAAATGAGAAACAATCTAAAGTATTATTAATAGTGGAATGGTAACATATATTATGTGCTATTCATACTATAGAATACTATGGAGAGGTTGCAAAAATTAGTTAGATCTAGTTGTGTTAATATGGAACAATTTCTCTAAGTGAAAACTGCAAATAACAGGCCAATAATATCATGTATGAAATTATTACAATAATGCAAGGAGGAAAAATCACAGAATATGCATTTAAAATACCCACTTGTATTGTGTGTGTGTGTGTGTGTGTGTGTGTGTATGTATATGTGTGTGTAGAGAAATGTATACAAATTGAAATATATACAATTTTTTAAACAATGATGAGCTTTGGTGAGAAAAGTAGCTGAGGAGTAATCTAAAAGTCTGATTTGTTTATTTTTTATGATATATTTTATATTATATATATAAGTATAATCTATGAAATTAATTGAGAAAACCCTAAAAAAAACTTAGTTTTCAGAAATGCTTACTTTCAGATACACTGAAACATATGTACTTAGCATTTTGGTTTGACAACTATTTGTTGATTTTTCATTGTATTATATATTGTGTTTGTTCTTATCCTTAACAATGAACTTAATGAGGCTCTAAATAATAACAAAAGTACACATTTTTTTATATTTTTAGATAGAAATATGGTAGCAGCATCTTATGAAATTTTCTCACATTTCTGGAAATATCATGACTTTATTTCTTCAAAACATATTTTGCATAAAATTAATGTTCAATAAATAGTTCTTAAATGAATATTTTATATTATTGTATCATGAATAAAAGTTATGAGATTAAAAATATATATTCTGAAAAAATGAAAATATATGTTCTGAAGAGACTACATATGAGTATTATACAGTTCTGAACATAATCTATGTAAGAGTATCACAATCCTTTGCATCATCTAACAATCTGATTTTTTAATTACTGATATATACTGTACATAGTCCTTTGTATCAGAAAATAGTTGTTTCATTTATGATTATCTTTAAAAAAAGTTCCCTATAGAAATTTAACTAATAAAACCTATAAGCATAAAGTTAGGATTGTTTTCCTTAAATCTTACTATGAGAACTCAAGGAATGTAAATTAGAGCGCACACACACACAAAACTCATCATTATTTTGTTTTCTTTGCTTTTTGCACTCTTTTTCAGACTTGGGATGTAGCTTTGTCACGGACTGCTAGAGCATGGGGGAAAAAATGTGTGTTTGAGCGTAATACTCACTTAGAAGAAATAAACATGGCCCATCCTATATTTAATGGTATTGGTGAAAATATGTGGGTCGGCCTTGAAAATGAATTTACTGCAAGTATTGCTATCAGAAGTTGGTTTGCAGAGAAGGACAGGTACTATTTTGGAAATGGCACTTGCCGTGGTGACTGTTCTAAATATTTGCAGGTATCTAATTTTTATATTATTAATTCAATAGATTCCTTAATTGCATTACTATCAAGTTTTTATTGATTGTTTCAATTTTATAAATAAATACAAATGGTCAATTGTTAATTCTAATAGAATCAAAGTTCTTATCAGTCCTAGATTTTCAAAATGTCTGTAATTATCTCTATTATGTGAACCATACAATTAAAACATTATTTTAAATATAAAAAATCTAATGTCCATACCCAAATATGAAAGGTACTTTTCTAAAAATAATGTATACTGGAAAAGGAAGAAACCAGAAAATGAAAACTATTTATAAATTATTGACTATAAACATAAGTGAAAGATGATATTTTTTTGCACAGATAAGTATATAAACTACTATATAACTAATTGGTTAAAACTTTTTAAATGAAAATTAATAGTATTATTTTTCCAACCTCATGTCTCATAATCTACCTTACACTTTATACCCCCAAAATACTGAACTACTTATTTCCTATACATATATTTATTATTTCATATATCACATTGTTTAATAATCATTTATACGTGATACCACACGAAGGGCAGGGATCTTCTAACTTTTGTTTCTCAACACAACATGACATTATTTAGGTTTTCAATAAATATTTGTATCCGGGATCAATAATTTATTAAATGAACTTCCGAGCTTATTTAAAATACGATTTTTCCCCCCGTAACTAATTTTGCTCAGTGATTAGAATCTTGATTTGAGGACTGAAGGGTTGAGAGTTTGATTCCAAGCAAGGGCACATAATTTATCCCCGATCCCAATAGGGGCATGTATGAGAGGTAACCAATTGATGTGTCTCTTTCACATTTATCTTTCTCCCTGTCTCTTCCCCTCCTGTCTACTCTCTCTCTCTCTGAAAAATCAATGGAAAAATATCCTCAGGTGAGGATTAACAAAAATAAATAAAATAAAAATAATTAATTTTCTACCAATAAACTGATGTCATGTTTTATGTACAACTTAAAATCTTGGAATTTTTTTCATATTGAACTCATGTCTTTCTCATTAATCAAATGAATCTTTCAAAAAATGTTTGATCTGTTTATTCTTCTCCTAGAAAGTTATAATAGTTCTTCATTATCTTATTTGTATCAAAGCTAGTCTTAATATAACTTCATACTTTCAGTAAACTAACAAATTCTACTCCCTGATTTACTCCTCTATATTTTGTACTTCTTAATTATAATATCTTAGTCATTTTGGTTTCCTGCATTTAACATGACTAACTCTAATTTAACTGTTGCAGTCATTCCATTCTCTATTATTTTTATGCATCACTCTATTTCTTTACTAATCATACTTTTAAAACCACAAAGGCTTGGGATAAAAAGAAAAAAACAAAAATGGTTCCCCTCCCTCCCACAGAAGTTAACAAAACAAAACAAGTACTTTTTTTTTTTTTTTTTTATCATTTGAAAGTATTAGAAATATTAAAGCCATACATAGAATTTCTGGAATATCTTGAACTATTCTCCTATTTTATTCCAATTTAATACCAGCTTTTCGTTTTATAAAAACAAGCTCCTTTATTCATTTTTTAAATAAAAGGCTCAAATCCTTTATAATGGAATTTCTTCAATGAAAGAAAAATGGCAATAGCATTCAATTACTCTTACTCTTTTATTGCTTTTTCCCACTTCTCTAATCTTAGTGTCTCTCTTTTTCTCCTTCCTATTTACAACTTTTATTCTTTCAAAATATTTATCCTTTCTTTACTTTTTCCTCTCTTCCAATAACCTAGAACTCAGGTTCAATAAATTGATTCAGCAGGTGGGCCTTTCTTGGACTCTGAAGAATTATTTTGGATCAGTGGTTCTCAAACTTTTTATCCTAAGGATACTTATTGGTAGAACCTATTAAAGTATTTCTCTACCTATAGTGTTGCAAATGCTGCCCTAAAACCATGCTAATTCATAGTTCATATTTTTTGGTTATTTAATTAAAGGTTCTATGGGTATTGAATATATTATTGTTTATAATATGGCAGAATAAATTTTATGTTTTCCTTGAAAATTTCATTTTAGCTTGTTTGGGACAAGTCTTACAAAGTTGGTTGTGCTGTTACTCCATGTTCAAGAGTTGGACGTATTAAACATGCAGCAATTTTCATATGCAACTATGCACCAGGGTAAGTTACTTCAAATTTAAAAAAGAATATAAAAATAAATAAATTGAGAATTTTCAACTTAAGTTTGCCTAACTTCCAATACCTATAATAATAGAAGTGTAATATGCTAATTACACTGGACATCCTTCCAGACGTCCTTCTGAATGACCTTCCAGATAAAGCCAGGGCTTCAAGGGAAGCCCAGGTCCTCGGTGCCTGCTTTGACTGGAGGGAAACAATGCCATCAGCTGGCGGAAGGAAGGCTTACTCTTTCATGAATTTTATGCATCGGGCCTCTACTATTCTCATAAAGTATAAAAAATAAATATAAGATGTTAAAGAATTTATATTAAAACTAGAGGCCCAGTGCATGAAATTCCTGCATGTGTGTGTCGGGGGGTGTTCTTCAGCCCGGCCTGCACCCTCTCTTATCTGAGACCCCTGGGGGAATGTCCAACTGCTGGCAGTAAGACATCCCTCTCATATCCCTGTCACAATCAGATATCCCTCTCGCAATCCCTCTCACAATATCGCCTGCCTGATTGCCCCTAACCCCTCTGCCTGCCTACCTGATCGCCCCTAACCACCTCTGCCTGCCTGTGGCATGATTGCCCCTAACTGCCACACTGCCAGTCTGATCACCCCTACCTTTCTCCCTGCTGGCCTGACCACCCTTAACTGCCTCTGCCTCAGCCCCCAGCCTAAGCCATAGTCTGGCCTCCCTCTGCCAGAGGTGACCTGGCTGGTCAGGGAAAGGTGCCGCCCCCATTACCCAGCTTCTTCTGCCACTGGAGGCCACCATGGCTGCCTGAGCCTCGTACCTTGCAGCTGCATGCAGCTGCCTGAACTTTAAGAAGGCCCTCGCAGTAGCAGCCACCATCCATGGCTTGCTGAGCCTCGGGCTGGCCCTGGGCAGCAGCAGCCACCATCCACAATTAGCCATCAGGCAGCTGCCGCCGCTTTTTCTAGAAAGATATCCAGATGGTTATCTGGAAGACATCTGCCCTAATTAGCATATTTATTACTCTCTTATTAGTATAGATATTTTGAATTCCATAATGAATCAATAAGTCATAATTTGGGCATATTACTTTTATGTATAGACTAGCCAAGTATAGATTCCTAAATAAATTTTATTTTATTTTATTTATTTATTTATTTTTTTAAAGGCCATAATGTGGAAATTTTATTAATGTCACATTATAGTGAATTAGAGTGAAGTAAACTCATTAGAAGATATGCATGTAAAAATGATAATTAAATATAGTTTCTAAGGGAAAATTTCCAAAATAATTACCAAGATTAAATATTAGCCTTAATTCACATTTTCACAGATAGTCCAAAGAAAATCAACCTGAAAACACTGGATTTTTATGAATAGACATTGATGTCATTATGCACTAAGATTCCTAAATAAATTTTAATTTTAACATTATTTCATAATATCTAGCCTAATTAGCATGGGATTTGAATTATTTTCCAAAATAGTTTACTCCTGTATTATAATAAAAGCCTAAAATGTAATCAATTTGACATGTTGACAAAAGAAAATAAGATTACATGCGTTGAAATGTATGCTGTATGAATTATTTCATGAATACATCAGATTTGTAATCTGAAGGACACTTTTAATTGACTATTCTTTGAAGTTCATTATTAATTGGGGCTATTTCATACACATAAGAAATTGTAATATCTCAGAGATGGAAGAGTACTTTAAAAGTATTTTAGTCAGGCTATTCATATGAAACTTTAATTTTTTTTTCTTATAATTTTCTTAATTATTTACCCTGTATCAGAAAATCTTCTTATTTTAGAAATAACTACCTTAAAAAATAGCCTTCATCTCTGGAAAGCTCTGTTGGAAACTCTCTTACAAGTCAATATGATACTATAAGTAATACTGTTAAAGTGACAACTAAGTGACAAAATATCCCAATCAACATGTCAAATTGATTACATTCTAGGATTGAAAAATAATGTCTATCAAATAAAATGCTTCTGGGACTGGAACAAAAAGAAAAACAAAACATATTAATTACTAGTTATTGATCGTCTTCCCTTAGATAGAGAAAAGAACAGAACAGTGATGTAAAAATTAGACTCAGAAAGCCCCTTCCTGATGGAAATCTTTGCTAACATTAAATGCAAGCACGCAAAACAAGTGCAGGATGTCAAATCATTACAAAATTTTTTTAGGTTTCTTTTCATTTTTACAGGCCAGAAACATTGAGATGAAATCTATTACATTGAGAAACTTTTAAAAGTTGACTACTGATTGGTATTAAAAATTCAAACAGTGAACTGGGCACTGGTGTGGGGAGGGAAGGTTTCTCAGAATCACAAGTCTTTATTTATGCAATAAGCAACCAGGTACAAGGCTCTGCCCTATCTATGAACAAGTCCAAAGGAGTCTGGCCATATCTAGCCTCTAGTCTTGGAAGGGAAACAAAAAAGAAATAAGCATAACCAATAGACGAAAAACTATGGGAAGGAAGGGCATGTATGGGAGTGGGGGGTAGGGGATTGGTAAGGTATATACACATATAATACCTTAATAAAAAAAAATGAAGAAAAATAAAATAAAATAAAAAATAATTATATATATATATTTTTTAAAAGATATACAAATGAGGACACTTATTATATCATGTTATACTAGTCCTATCTTATAAAAAGTAATATGCAAATTGACCATACCTCTGCTACACCCACATGCCACGTCCACCAGCCAATCAGGAGTGAGAATGCAAATTAACCCAACCAAGATGACTGTGGCCACAGAGCTGCAGCAAGCAGGAGGCTTGAGTTTCCCTGGCAATGGAGGAAGCCAAGCTTCTCTGCCACCCTGGTCCGCCCAGGCCTACACTCAAAGATATAAAGTTTCAATTATAGAAGATAAATAAACCCTAGATACCAGGGCCTCTGCTTGGGTCACCGGGGGGTGTGGTCAGCATGAAAACCACCACAAGCCCCTAACCTAGGCTGCCCCATGCCCCAAGGGAATTCCCACCTTGATCCAGGTCCCTTTGGGGCCAACCAACTGGCCCCACCCATGTAGCAAGCCTCTATCCTATCTAATAAAAGAGTAATATGCAGATTGACCATCACTCCAACACACAAGATGGCTGTCCCCATGTGGACACAAGATGGCCATGACAAGATTGCCAGCATTATAGGTCAGTTGGTAGGAATCAGGCCTGCAAGGGAGGGCAGTTGAGGGTGACCAGGCCTTTAGAGGAGGGTAGTTAGGGGCAATCAGGCTGGCAAGGGAGCAGTTAGGCATCAATCAGGCTGGCAGGCAGAAGCAGTTAGGGGTAATCAGAAAGGCAAGCAGGCAAGCAGTTGGGAGCCAGAAGTCCTGGATTGTGAGAGGGATGTCCAACTGCCCATTTAGTCTCAATCCTACCTTGATCAGGCCTAAACAGGCAGTTGGACATTCCTTGAGGGGTCCCAGATTGGAGAGGGTTCAGGCTGGGCTGAGGGACACACACCTTTCATGCATGAATTTCGTGCACTGGGACTCTAGTAATAACATAAAACTGAAATTTAAAAAACCAATGACTCCAGAAATAGGTGACTGAACAAGTAATTTACTGCACATTATTATGTAACAATTGAAAAGACTGGTGTCTTTCTCTTTGTACTAATATGGAAAAGTTTCACTTATTAGATGAAAAAAAGCAAGGTGCAGAACACTAGTAGGTAAGATTGAGGCTTTTTGTTACAACAGCTAACATTATTGGGAAATGTAGTGATTCAATAGGATAGAAGTAAGAAATATCTGTTTGATGGGTAGTTTTGTTTCATGAGTCATTTAAACATCCAGGTTGTTCCCATCTTGTTTCTTCACAAATAAAAGAAACATGTTGGCAGCTTGATCATCTCCTAAAGCACCAGGTGGGAAGTGGTGCACATCACTGCCACTTCCATTTCATTGGATATAAAATTGATCAGTCCTCGCCAGTTTGGCTCAATGGATAGAGCATTGGCCTGGGAACTGAAGGGTCCCAGATTTGATTCTGGTCAAGGGCACATGCCTGAGTTGTGGGCTTGATCCCTAGTAGGGGGCGTGCAGGAGGCAGCCAATCAATGATTTTCTCTCATCATGGATGTTTCTATCTCTCTATCCCTCTCCCTACCTCTCTGAAATCAATAAAAATATATTTAAAAATAAAAAATAAAATTGATCAAATGGCCATATATAAGTTGCAAGGGAAGTTGGGGAATCCAGTGTGGGAAATATAGCTTACCATTAATATGCCAAGCTAAAATACTTTTATATCAGTATTTCAAAAGATATTTAGATTGACAGCTAGCATTATCACAAATATATAAATACTAAGAATTTTTGTGAAAAAATTTTTTCTTCGAAGAATAATAGAAACTACTAACAAGTTATCTGTGGAGAGACAGATAAAAAGTGAAAGATGGAAACATTTTTCCTCTTTAAGGTTGCATTTTTCTGCTTTCTTCTATCATATACTTAGAAATAGTATACATTTATTACTTTTATTCTATTTATTTACTTTTATAGCAACAGAGGATATCTAAATTGATAATGGAGAAGAATTTAAGAGTTGTTTAGAAGGTATTAGTAACAGGATTTGGAGGTCATAATATTAATGAGAGACAGGAAATAGTCAAGGAATTTCTCAGATTTATGATTCAGTCATAAATGGTATTGCTATTAAATGCAATGAGGAATACTAACTCTTTTGGGAGGGAAGATGATGAGTTCCACTTGGGACATAATAAATTTAAGTTGGCTGCAAAATTTTCACTTAGCAAGCAGTTGGTTATATGGATTAGAAGCTAATAATGAGGTATGGCATAGGACAAACATTTTGAGTGCCTGTGATGATTGAAATCATGGGAGTAGATAGGATTGTCTGTGAGAGAGTACTGAGGGAAAAGAGAAGAGGACTTCTAGAATATCATGCCAACACTGAAGGGCACTCAGAGGAAGATAAAATGACAGGGGCCACATAAGAAGAATGGCCAGACAGAATAAATTAAAAAAAAAGAAAAAAGAATAAGGTATCATAGTAGGCATCGGGGGGGGGGGGCTGTTTTCAGAAGAAAAATTTGTCTAAAAGTTTTAAATTTTAACAGGTCAAGCAAAATAAATATTTAAAAATATCAGATTTAAAAAGAACTTCATTGGTAAGCATAGGAAGAGCCGTTTATGTGGAGGGAAGTGATGCCAGGTTGTAATGTCTCAAAGACTGTTTTTTTCTTTTGTTTTTAAAGTGGGAATGATGTAGACATGTTTAAATATTGACATGAAATATGTAATATAGTATGTACTATAGAATAAAAGTAATTCTTTACAAAGAATAAAGACATACAAGAGGTTAACCTTAGAAAGAAGAAAAAGTTCTTTAGTTTTATTAGAAGAAAAAAAAAAAAGACTGGGTGGGTATATTTGTCATATTTAGTGACCAAAAAACATCTCAAGCTGCAATCTAAAGAACATTATGTTTCTCTGTGAAGTAAGGCAGAGCATGTCCTGAGAATAAGACTTTGAAGATGGGGTTTAGAAGATTGGGAAGGTTTGAAATAGTTACTATGGAAAATGAGAGAGGAATCTGAGTAGGGAACCATAGAGAATTTACCTCATTTAATGATTTTGCTCTAGCAGCACCCAGTTGCCCTGAAGCAGATATGGAACATTCACACAGTAAGATGCCTTCATTTTTTCCAAAACTGGGGTTTAATCAGGTGTCTATAAAGGAAAATAGTGTAAGAGAGTTTCAGGTTTTTAGCTGAACATGCAAATATGAGAATATGCAGAGACCTAAGCTAAATAGAAAGGGACAACAGGGTGGATAGGGAGAAAATAGACCAGCAGTACCAGAGAAATGAATGGACAAGTAAATAAATGAGCAATCTGGAAGGACAGGAGGTTGCAATCAGTGAGTGTAATTTGTGATTTATTTATTTATTTCAGAGAGGAAAGGAGAAGGAGAGGGAAAGATAGAAACATCAATGATAAGAATCATTGATCGGCTGCCTCCTGCATGCCTCCCACTGGGCTGGAGCCATCAACCCTGGCATGTGCCATTGACCGGAATCGAACCCAGGACCCTTCAGTCCACAGACTGACGCTCTATCTACTGAGCCAAACCAGCTAGGGCTGTAATTTGTGATTTTGTGAGTTCAGAGGTGGAGTGGGTTTAGGGGATAACAAGGTCCAGAGTATGGCTGAAAAATGCCAATTACAGTAACAGAGAGATCAAGTTATTGGGCAAATCATCCATAAGCATATTGTAATCATCCAGGTCCCAAATTCTAAGATAATGGCACAATTTTGCTTGGAAGGGAGATTGTGAATCAGATGTCAAAATGTGGAAGGAGGCATGATCAGAAAGAAGATAGTACCTTGGGGAGGGTTAGAAGATGGTACAGCAAAATATTATCACTCTTGTCAGTGTTTAACTGTGGTCCCTAGTCCTTTAGTTCCAAGCATTGGAAGTGAAGGAGATGTGACCAACTGAGTTTTACAGAAAGTGATACAAAGTAACATAGCTTTGCACATAAAGGGATAATTTGAGGCAGAAAACAACAGGATTCATGCTTTTGTTGGTCTTGAAATAAGTATAGAAAGTAATCATAGAGTTTTGGCAAAGTTAAATATATTAGGTGTATCAGAAGGAGAGCCAAATATGATCTCTAAAAGATAATCTTTCTGCCAAAACCGGTTTGGCTCAATGGATAGAGCATTAGCCTGAGGTCTGAAAGGTCCCAGGTTCAATTCCGGTCAAGGGCATGTACCTTGGTTGCGGGCACATCCCCAGTAGGGGGTGTACAGGAGACAGCTGATCAATGATTCTCTCTCATCGATGTTTCTAACAATCTATCCCTCTCCTTTCCTCTCTGTAAAAAATCAATAAAACATATTTTTTTTAAAAAAAAGATAATCTTCCTTGCTCTTTATTGCATTGTATTTTTCTCTAACTTACTGGGATAGATTCTTTAAATCTTCTTGGGAGACCTATGGAAGTCCAGGTGTACCAGTAAACTAGAAGCCAGATTTGTGGTATTTCTCAATGGTATATGGAAGAGTGAAAGTGAAAGTGGTTATTGTATGTGGTATAACCTCTGGCTTTATGAGATGGAAAGATCAACATCTGTTTGATATTCTCTTGCCATTGTTCTATGGACAGTGTTCAGATATGTGAGTCTGTACCTGGAGAACTTTGAAGAGAAGAATCTGCTTACAAGTTGTAATTGCTAGATTGCCAAACCATTGAGCTGAATTACTTCCTTCATGAATAAAGTGGTGGCAGAAATAGGTCTAGTGTAAGCAATGAAAGGTTCCATTACCACCAGAATTGTGTTTTCCTTCTGTAACAATATAGTTCTACTATAAAATTTGAATAATGGTCTTCTAATGAACTTTGGGTTGGACATAGGTAAGTTTACCCAATAGGCAAGCCAGAAAATATGTCCTTATCTAAGACTTGGTTCCATATCCTATAAGTGGCAATATAATGAAGGTATGGCCAGATACGAGTCTAAGAAAAGTTCTAGGGACTTATATGCCTAATGTTTGTTTTTATAGCTTCTAATATACACTGAGTAAATAAGCAATCCTATTTAATCATCAGAATCAATAACCCTCCCCTCACTGAAAAATATCTTTTCCTTACCTATCTCCTCTATCTTTCTTATCCTAGATCTTTAATGTAAGCTTCCCAATTCATATCTACTTTTGGGCCTCTTTTTCTTACTTAGCTTTGAGGAATTGATGTAATAGATTCTCAATTCTCCCCTCTGGTCTATACAGTAGGTTAAACCAACTTGGTAAAATTACATTTAAATTTGTTTGCTTGTTTATGTATTTATGTATTTTTCATGTAGATCTCAAAGTAATTCATACAGCTAGGTCTTTGAGATATAGACATTTCAGGATTTTTCAAACTCATCAGAAAATTAATACAACTTCTTATACAAGTGTTCCAAACAGAAAGCAGTTAATTACAGAGCATTCTGTAACATCAATTTTTTAAGGAAAACTTTGCTATAAACTAAAATAAAATAAGTTTTAAAACTCAATCATTTTAAAATTACAATATTTCCTTTCAAGGATATCAAAATTCACTTCAAAAGAGACTTTTGAGGAGGGAGAGTAAAGATTGCATCTCCAAATTGAGTACTTCCTTGAGTCCTTTTCTTAATTAAATCACCTTTATAAACTAATAAAAATTGTTAGTTATATTTCTTAAATAATATAAAACTTGAGACTTTTTCTAACTAAATGTTTTCTGCTTTTTTGTAGAGCAACTCTAAGGAGACAGCCTTATCAACAAGGAGTAGTTTGTTCTCAATGTAGCAAAAATGACAGATGCACAGATTTTCTATGCAGTAAGACAAAGAAAGTAACTTTAACACACACACACACACACAAAGCCCATAGTGCATAGGATGATAAGAAAAATGAAATGTTGAACACTAGTTTTCCATTATCATGTTAATATACTTTCTTTAACCAGAATAGTATTATATTATCAAACAATAATATTACCCAACAGTATCATCTTTAGATTTTTCTAAAATGCACAGCCTTTTCTGCCCTCTCTTACCTCTATTCCTGCCCTTAAGGACATACCAGAATGTCTGAAAGAAGAAATGAAAACTAATAGCTATAACCTAAAAAAGCTTCACAATTAATTCCTAAAAGAGCAGCCTTTTTGAAAATGATTGATCTAAAAGATAAGCTATTTAAAAAGAGAAAAGAAGTAATTTGCAGTACTTTTCTTAGGAATGTTTCCTCTATAAACTCCTAGAATATGACTTTCACCAAAAAGAAGAGATGAATGGAAAAGCAAAATGATTCATTGAAAGAATTACCCATAAACATAGAATCTTTATTTATAGACAAAGACCAAAATAAACCTGAAGCCTAGAATTACAAAGCAAAATATAAATATGATAACTTTAAGAGATATACAAATGGAAAAAAATGACAATGAAAATACAACAATCCAAAATCTATGGGACACAGCAAAAGCAGTTTTGAGAGGAAAGTTCATATCCCTACAAGCCTATTGCAAAAAAACAAGAAAAAATGGTAACAAATTATCTAACTCTACAACTGAAAGAGTTAGAAAAAGAGCAACAAGAAAAGCCCAGTGTAAGCAGAAGGAAGGAAATAATAAAAATCAGAGCAGAGATAAATGACACTGAGACCAAAGAAACAATACATAAGATCAACAAAACCAAGAGCTGGTTCTTTGAAAGGATAAACAAGATTGATGAACCTCTAGCCAGGCTAACCAAGAAATAAAGAGAGAGGACTCAAATAAGCAAAATCAGAAATGAAAGAGGTGACATAACAGCAGTCCCCGCCAAAATACAAAGGATTGTTACAAAATACTACGAACAACTCTATTCCAACAAACTGAACAACCTGGAGGAAATGGACATATTCCTAGAAAAATACAACCTTCCAAAACTCAATCAGGAAGAATCTAAAAATCTCAATAGACCAGTGACTTGGGAAGAAATTGAAACAGTCATCAAAAAGCTTCCAGCAAACAAAAGCCCAGGGCCAGATAGCTTCAAAGGAGAGTTTTACCAAACATTCAAGGAAGAACTAAAACCTATCCTCCTCAAACTATTCCAAAAAAAATTCAAGAGGAAGGAACACTTCCAACCTCCTTCTATGAAGCCAGCATCACCCTAATACCAAAACCAGATAAAGACAACTCAATGAAAGAGAATTACAGGCCAATATCCCTCATGAACTTGGATGCCAAAATCCTCAACAAAATTCTAGCAAATCAGCTCCAGCAGAACATCACAAAGATCATACACCATGACCAAGTAGAATTTATTCCAGGAATGCAAGGATGGAACAATATCTGCAAATCAATAAACATGAAACATCACATAAACAAATTGAAAGATAAAAATCATATAGTCATATCAATTGATGCAGAAAAAGCATTTGATAAAATCCAACACCCTTTCCTGATAAAAACTCTCAACAAGGTGGGAGTACAAGGATCATACCTCAACATAATAAAAGCAATATATGATAAACCCACAGCCAACATTATACTCAATGGGCAAAAACTAAACGCATTCCCTCTAAGAACAGGAACAACACAGGGATGCCTACTCTCACCACTCCTGTTTGACATAGTACTGGAAGTACTAGCCATTGCAATTAGACAATAAGAGGAAATAAAAGGCATCCAAACTGGAAAAGAAGTAGTAAAGTTATCTTTATTTGCAGATGACATGATATTATATACATTAAAAAAATGACTCCATTAAAAAACTAATTGACTTAATAAATGAATTTGGCAATGTAGCAGGATACAAAATTAACTCCAAGAAATCTATGGCATTTCTATACACCAACAGTGAACTTACAGAAACAGAGACTAAAAAAGAAATTCCATTTACAATTGGACCAAAAAATTAAGATACCTAGGAATAAACTTAACTAAGGAAGTAAAGGACCTATATGCAGAAAACTACACGACACTGAAAAAAGAGATAGAGGAAGATGTAAACAGATAGAAGAGCATACCATGTTCATGGATTGGTAGAATCAACATCATCAAAATGTCCATACTTCCCAAAGCAATCTATAGGTTCAATGCACTCCCCATTAAAATACCAATGGCATATTTCACTGACCTAGAAAGAACTCTCCAAAAGTTCATTTGGAACAATAAAAGAATAGCTATAGCAATCCTGAGAAAGAAGAGTAAAGTAGGAGGGATCTCAATACCAGATTTCAAGCTGTATTACAAAGCCACTGTTCTCAAAACAGCCTGGTACTAGCAGAAGAATAGACATAATCAATGGAATAGAATCGAGAACTCAGATATCAACCCAAAACACTATGCTCAATTAATATTTGACAAAGGAGGCACAAATATACAATGGAGTCAAGACAGTTCCTTCAATAAATAGTGTTGGGAAAATTGGACAGATACATGTAAGAGAATGAAACTAGATAACCAACTTACACCATGCACAAAAATAAACTCAAAGTGGATACATGACTTAAACATCAAATGGGAAACCATAAAAATACTAGAGGCATCCACAGGCAGAAAAATCTCAGACATATGCCAAAAGAACTTCTTCACTGACTGCCCATAGGGCAATGGAAGCTAAAGAGAAAATAAACAAATGGGACTACATCAAAATAAAAAGCTTTTTTACAGCAAAAGAAACCATCAACAAAACAACAAGAAAGCCCACTTTATGGAAGAACATATTTGCAAATGTTATCACTGATAAAGGTTTAGTCTCCAACATTTACAGACAGCTTATACAACTAAATAAAAGGAAGATGAATGATCCAATTAAAAAATGAGCAATGGACCTAAATAGAATATTTTCAAAAGAAGACAGAAGGAAGGCCAAGAGGCACATGAAAACATTCTCAAAGTCACTAATTGTCCGAGAGGTGCAAATCAAAACAACAATGCGGTACCATCTCACACCTGTCAGAATGGCCAACATCAACAAATCAACAAATGACAAGTGTTAGTGAGGTTGTGGAGAAAAAGGAACCCTCGTGCACTGCTGGTGGGAATGCAGACTGGTGCAACCACTGTGGAGAACAGTGTGGAGTTTCCTCAAAAAACTGAAAATGGAACTCCCATTTGACCCAGTAATCCCACTTCTAGGAATATACCCCAAGAAACTAGAAACACCAATCAGAAAGGATATTTGCACCCCTATGTTCACAGCAGTACAATCTACAATAGCCAGAATTTGGAAACAGCCTAGGTGCCCGTCAGCAGATGATTGGATCCAAAAACTTTGGTACATCTACACAATGGAATACTATGCTGCCATAAAAAAGAAGGAATTCTCATCATTTGCAGCATCCTGGATGGAATTAGAGAACATCATGCTGAGTGAAATAAGCCAGTCAATGAAAGAGAAATACCACATGACCTCACTCATTTGTGGATAATAAAGAACATTATAAACTGATAAACCAAAAGATAGATATAGAGACAGTAAAGCAACAAGCAGATTGTCAAATTACAGCGGGGAGGGGAGGAGGATCTGGGGGAGATAATAGATCAACCGAAGGACTTGTATGCATGCATATAAGTACAACCAAGGGACATAAAACTCTGGGGAGGGAGGGGATGTGTGGAAGGGAGGGAGGGGGGCAAAAAAATCAATAAAATATGTTAAAAAAATAAAAAATAAATAAAAAATAAAACCTTTTTGGCAAGAGAAAAAAATAAAAATAAAAACATCAACAAAACAAAAAAAAGAGATATACAAGTGATGCAATTAATAAAATGTGGGGAGATGAGGAAGGAAAAGGAGAGGGCAGAAGGAAAATACTGAGCCTACACCCTGGTGAGGAGTACAAGTAAAGGATCTTAGTTGTGAACCTAACAGACAGACTGCAGGCAGAGGCTGATCTCTGGATGTGTTGAGGCTTCTGCTGATCTGTCCCTAGCCCAGTGCTAGTCAAAACAGACCTTGGTAGACAGCGTGGTCTTTCCACATGCATCCAGGCCCAGAAGAGGGAGCCACAATCTGTGGATCACTGACAGCTCCAACAGTTTGCCCAGAGCCAATCATAGACAACAGGCCAGCACCATAGTCCTTCTGAAGAAGCCCAGAACCAACACAACCAGTGGCCAGCTGTAGACAACAACAAAGTATGATCCAATAAGCTTCACAAGCATCATATCCATAGGACGATCTCAGGAGGACAAAATCCTGCTGAGGTACATTCCACTCCACGTGATCAGCACCTGCACAAAAGCTTGCACGCTGTGCTGGTGGTTGAGCCTCACAGTCAGATAGCCTGAGGGTCTATCCCACACACAAACTGGCTAAGAGCAATCAAAATTTAATTACAAAAGGAGGACCCACATAGCATGCACAAGGGCCATTCTTAGTGCATCCAGCTCAGGTGATCAGGTGATCAGGAAGAGTCCATCACTTGGTCCCACATAAGGCAACACTGGGATTCATAGCAGATCTACATATTACATAGATACAACAAGAAAAATGCAGCAAAAAAAGAGAGACAAAGAAAGAAGCCCCAAATGAAAAACAAGGGAGTTCTCCAGAAGAGCTCATTGAATGAGGGTAAGCAATTAATCAAATATAGAGTTCAGAGTAATGATTATAAGGATGCTCAACAACATGACAAAATTCATTGAACTGTACACATAAAAAGGACAGATTTTACTATATGTTAATTACAACCTAACTTTAAAAAGAGACCACCTAAAATACACAATGAATGCTAACTAACATTTGCATACTCTTGGAAAAAAGATACCAGAAATATAAAAGAAAGTAGAATAAAGAATAGCATAAAGGATTAAAGGTATGGGATGGGGGAAACCCAAAATTAG